GGGTACTTGCCGAGGTAAATCATCAGTTTGTATAACCGAGGTGTGTCATCCCGAGAAGGTTGCACAAGGATTGAAGTGTATATTAAAGATATACAAAATATTCTAAGTATGGAAGCATACAAGGCAAACATGCAAGCATTCAAAACAAAAGAGTTGAATTAAAGGCACATCGGCGATGTAAAGAGTTTACATTACTTCAAAAAGAAAAACAAAGTACAAAATACAAAGAAAAAAGACATCAAAGTCAAGACTCTTCGGCAACGACAGATGGTTGGGTCTGAAGTTCGGATGACTGCTAGGAAGACACCTCGGCAGCCTTTTCTGCCGCAAGCTCAACATCAATTTCTTGAAGGGTTTTGTCAAGGCTCTGGTCGGCAAGAAGCACGTCGGCTGATGCCTTTTCAGCTGTAGCATCTTTGGGAACCTCCTCACCCTCCTCATCTTGAGTCAAGTCTAAGACTTGCTCATTCAAAGAAGGGGACTTGGTCCTAGCAGCCTACTTTGATTTCCTCACCAAGGTCTCCTCCTCGGACTCAGATTCGTCGTCGGATTGAGTTGGAATTGGGGGGAATGGGAGAGGAATGACGTCGGCGTTCCTGGGGGGCGAGTCCTCAGGGCCTTCAAGCTTTTTTAGAAGAGACATCCAACCCAGGGTGAAACCCTTGTTGCATGCCTGCTTCACTTGCTTTTCATAGTCAGCCGTGACATCGGCCACCCCCTCATTGTAGCCCTTCTCATCGGCTGCCTTGAGCTCAGCGTTTTTGGTGGCGAAGGCATCCTGAAGTTCTTTTTGGGCTTGGGCCATCTTTTCCTCAGACTCTTTCCTCTGGGCCTCAAGAACCTTGTTAATGGCCTCAGCAGCACCTGCTTTTCATCGGCATCGTCCTTAGCTTTGATGACAGCCTCGGCTTGGTCTTCCAACTTCTTCATTTTTGATTGTAAGCTTTTGTTGGCCCTTTGCAGACTGACAACTTCTCTCTTCTTATCAGCCAGTTCTTTCCGGTTCTCAAAGGATTGTATTGAGAAGGAATGAGCATGCTGGATGGCCTGAAAGTGAACAAGACAAAAGTTATTAGAAAATTTTCTAAGTACAAGAAAGAAAGAAAAATGACCAAATAAAGACACTCACTTGGATAGAGCGCTGGAGCATTAGAGCATAGTTTTCATATTCACTCAACTCGGCGTTTCGGTCGAGATCACCGGGAAGAAGCAAAGCAGTACTAAGGGTAACGCCGACATTAATGTCATCAGCGCTGTCGCTAGCCCTAACTGGCTTGTCCTCCAGTGTGATTTGGGGAGCCCAAGGGGAATCCTGCTTTCGAGACCCCGATGTGGTTGTAGCGGATGACCTCGGCTTCTTTGATTTTGGAGATTTGGATGGTTGGCCCTCGGCAGGCCTCTTCTCGGCGGCAGAATGGGACTTGTCACTCTCAGCAAATTTGGAGATTAGCAAGGTATCCTCAGTATCGACCTGAGTCACCTTTGCCTTTAGCTGAGCCTTCTTGATCCTTTTTGTCTTCAGCTTTGGCTGGGTTAGCGCTGATTGGGCATCAACTGAATTAGGAATATCGGCCAAAAGATCCTTAGTAACTGCTTTTTGGCAGCCCATTTCAGCAGCAAAAACTGTTTGGCGTCGTCGACGGCGCTGGGATATTGGGATCAGATATGGAGCCGAAGTTGATGGCTGATCTGCTGGGTCAGAAGTTGATCCTTGATCTAGCCGAGATGAGGAGGCAGATTGAGGAGTTATAGTGGAAGGCGGAGAAAGGCTTTTCTTCTTCTTCTTGGGGACGTCGGGAAGAGCTAATTCGTAGGTAGGAATGAGATTGAGTAGAAGAGGGGCCTTCCATTTGAGAACTAGCAAATCCAACAGTTTCCTCAAGCCTTTGTTGGGAAAGAAAGACTGACGGAAGCCCTTTGGTGGCTGAGGAAGAGCTGCAAGAAAAACAGACATTAGAAACAAATAGAGTATTGAAGACTTTAAAACAAACAAGTTAATATGGACACAGAGCTCTTACCATTGCCCTCTACAAAAACTGTTCGAGGAAAAGGGTAAAGATGGTGGTCCTCATCTGGAGCGAGCTCCCAGTTCCCCGAGGTAATGAAGTAATCGTCTCCAGCTCCCTTGTTGGAGTCTGGGAGGTCGGCTACGATTTTGTATTCTGTGGATCTCGGCTTGAAGTAGTAAATGTAGCCTGTTTCTTTTTTGAGGCCACACATGGTGTAGCAATACTGGATATCGGCTAAGGTAACCCTAACGTTTTCTTGTTTGGCTAAGGCTATGATGCCATTAATGACTCGGTAAGAGTTGATGGCAAGCTACATTGGGTTCAACTTATAATAATGGATGATCTCATGAAAAAAGATATTGAGTGGGAGCCGAAGTCCACACTCGATGAAAGCTACAACAGGAAGGGACATAGAATCAGCTGTGGGCATGATAGAGTCTTCTTCCCCAGCCAACCTGAGATGGACGTCGACAGGGATGTCAAACTCACGCCTAAAGTGATCTAACTTGGTGAGGGTGTCTACCCTATGTTTCCACATACCCATGATATCGGCCTAACTAGGAGAAATTGGGTTTAAGAATGAAGGTGTTTTAAAAGGGTTATTGGGACCTCGGCAAAAACCTAAAAATTTGTTGGGTAAGAATTTATGGAAATAGTTTCAGTTTTTCCTAAAAAATCGTGGGCTCTACAAACAAATCCCAAATCTAGATCTATGGAAATGAAGATTGAAGGCACGAATCTGGAGAACAGAATAGAAAAGCAAGAATGCGATTCAGAGTCAAGAACAGTGAAGGATCATGAAGAAACACAAGACAGGTGTAATAGGTCAAGAACAGTGGCAAAAGTGCAAAAAAGTTGTGAGCAGTGCGAGTATTCAAGACATGGGCAAAGAACAAAATTGTGAAATAAATACGCTCAGATGCATGATTCATGAATCAAATATTCGAGTAAAACAACAATGGCGACTAATGATGAAGCAAAATTTCTTAGAGCATAACAAGAACTAAAACCAGGAGGAATTGTGACTTACTAGAGAAAAGAAGCCGATGTTGAGATCGCTGAAGTCAGAAGAATGATGGCAGCAGAACAGATTGGCAAGAACCTCGCTGGAGGAAATGGACGGAGCAAGTTACAGAGCTTTGGAAGCTTGAGCAATGTAGGATTTTGAAGGGAAAAGTTAGAAAGATAAAAAAGCTTCAGATGCGAAAGTGAAAAGTGAAGAGACGAAGAGAGAGGATACTGATTTTGTCAAAAAACGTGAAAAGGCGGCAGAAGGGAATTGATAACCCTAGAAATACGGATTCGTCAGATGGTGCACGCACGCGTGAGATGACTTACAAGCGCGTACGGAGTACGATCCAGTAAAAGAAAGACGCGTGGCTGAAATGGTTGAGTTATTTTGCATGACAGCTTATATGCGTGAAGGAAATCTTGGATACTTTTAACCTTAAAGATACATGTTGGCCTATATGATGATCTCGGCTGAGAGACTTTAAACCGATGCATTGATAGGAAGTTCTGATATAGGTTCCATCACCTCAGGATGCCGAGGTAATAGAACCTAGGGGGCAGTTGTGGGGATATATTTTCTGAGTACCAACACGTGGCCAAGGTGACGCCGACGTGTCAGCTGAGGTGCCATGTGTCCTGGTCATGACGCCAAGGATATCTTGGCAAGGCCGAGGTTATCTCCGAAGATATCGGAATCCGAGATAAGCGGATAAGGCACAGGAGTCCTAGAATGAGGAAGGACTTTAGCGTGGATAAGGATAACACTCTTAGGGAGTTTATCTTTATCTCTTGGAGAGTCCAGGATAAGCATTGAGCAGAAGTCCATTGAAGCTAGGCTTCTATGGGGACTAAGATTGAGGTAACTATAAAAGAAAGGCACTACCGATGGGTCTAAGGTACACAATTTATATTCTGAACCGTGAGTTTAGCACTATTGATTATCTTTGAGAGATATACTGACTTGATCGTCGGAGTGCCCCTGGGTGGACGAACCACTGCCGGAATCTTCTCTTTCTGTTGCAGGTCAGCCAGGTGTCATCTATTCTGCCAGTACTCTCCAGCTGAATACTAAGTTGACAGTGTGATCGAAAAATCACTCACACACTTATCATATGAAATTGTCCACCAAGTCCACTAATAAAATCCACTAACAAAACAATAATCCAAGTACTAAAAGCATAGTCCTACTCTCGGCACTCCCACAAGTAAAAAAAACCCCGCGCAGCTCTACTCCTCAGAATTTGAAAATAAATAAATAAAATAAGGGTAAGCTAGATAGTCCAGTAAATAACCAACCATCACTCTTATGAATCCTCCCTCTTCCTTTTGGTTTTGGTCTCTTTTTTTTCTTTTCTTTTTTTGTTTTCTTCTACTTTTCAAACCCTTGAGCAGCAGCCTCCAAATTACCCAGCAGCACTTTCACGAGGCTCCCTTTTCTTTCTTTTTTTTTTCTTTTGTTTTTCTTCTTTTACATAAAGGGTTATTAACCTAATTCCTTAAAATTACTAAATTACCCATACAAATTAATTTAACTACTACTTTATCCAAAAATAATTCTACATATAACTTGGGTTTTACATTCTTCCCTTCTTAAAAGAAATTTCGTCCTTGAAATTTGACGTACCTGGAGTCTCAAAAAGTTGTGGATACTTTCCTTCCGTTTCATTTCATCCTCAAGTTCCCAAGTTGCTTCTCTTTCTGAGTGATTGCTCCATTGGACCTTAACATAGTGGATGACTCGATGCCTCAAAACCTGTTCTTTCCTATTAACAATTCGTATAGGGTGTTCCTCATAAGTCAAATCCTCCTTAAACTGCAACGGTGCATGATCAATCACATGACTAGGATCCGGTATATACTTCCTTAACATTGAGACATGAAAAACATTATGAACTCTTTTATTTTCACATTTTTCTCTCTCTAGGTTCCCTTGCCTGTTTTTGGGATCCACCTGTAACAAAGATGGTGATTTGTCTTTGATGTTATTGTTTTCCAGATAACTTACTCTTGACAGCAGATCACAAAACTGTTAAACTTGCGGATTTTGGTTTGGCAAGAGAAGAGTCATTAACAGAGATGATGACTGCTGAAACCGGAACTTATCGTTGGATGGCTCCCGAGGTACAATATTGAATGGTGCAGAGCTGCCTTCTTTTTTTTCTTTCCCTTCTTTCCCCTCTCGCATTTTTAGTTTTTATTTTTTATTTTTTATTGCAGCTTTACAGCACGGTTACTTTGAGGCATGGAGAGAAGAAGCATTATAATCACAAGGTGGATGCCTATAGCTTTGCAATTGTTTTGTGGGAGCTCATTCATAATAAGTTACCCTTTGAAGGCATGTCAAATCTACAGGCAGCCTATGCTGCTGCTTTCAAAGTAAGTATTCTCTTCCTCGTCCTTCACTTTTGTTTTGTTTTGTTTTGTTTCCCCCCCCCCCAAACCCTTGCTTGCTGCCTTCACCTTTAACTTTTCCAAATGTTACCTTCACATTCTGCAGCATACACGCCGCTCCGTTTTCTTTCTTTTCTTTTTTTTTCTTTTGTTTTTCTTCTTTTACATAAAGGGTTATTAACCTAATTCCTTAAAATTACTAAATTACCCATACAAATGAATTTAACTACTACTTTATCCAAAAATAATTCTACATATATCTTGGGTTTTACATGGATAGACCAATGTAGAGTTGAAATAGTACAAACCCGCCAAAACCCAAAAGCCAAGCAGTTGAAGAGGAGTAGTTTAGAAGCATAAGGGTATGGCCTCAAGTGGGCCAAAAGAAATTGAGAAAGAAATCAAAGAAATGCGCAAATAAGGCAAAACAAAAATCTAATCTTTGAAGAGAAAATTTAGAAAGAGAATGTATTGAGAGAGAGAGAGAATGAAGAGAGAAAGGAGAGAAGAGATATAAAGAGAGGTTTTTTTGATGGTGGAGAGGATGAGAGAGGGGACAGAAAAAGCAGAGAAAAAGGGAAATAGTTGGTGGGGGGGTTTGTTAATGTGGAGGAGAGAGAGAGAGAGAGAGGGAGAGAGGGACCTTAGAAAGCTGGAAAGGAAAGCTTGGTTTGCAATGGAGGAAACCAGAGAGAGAAAGAGAGGAAGAGAGAGAGACAGTAAAGGGAAAGAAAAAATGAGGTGGACAGAGATTGCATTTATAGCTGGGTAAAGAAATTTAATGGAAAAGTGAAAAACCCAACAAGAGAAAAAGAGAAAAATGTGAAAAATGATGTGTGAGGGAACAATAATTAATACTATTGACTCATAAAATTTAAAAAAAGGGAAAATTAGTCTACGGTCTCTCCCTCATTTTTAGTAATGGAAAAGATCTACAATATTATTTTATGATGTCTAAGGTCCTTCAACCCCACACCCATATATCACAGAGAAATTTGACCCTCTCACATCAAACCTCATTTCTCTCTCTCTCTGCCTTCTTTATTTCATCTTTCTCTCTATTTCATCTCTCTCTCTCTCTCTAAATCCAAACCAGAGCACAAACTTTGGGTTCCTGGAGAGCAGTCCAGTTCTACACGGAGAAACAAGCCTGCTGACATCAGATAGAACAAGCAGCGAGTTTCCCATGCAAAAAACCATATATATACATCATTTTATAGTACTCAATTTACCAAAATTCATTAGCAATGGAAGCAGAATATTGGATTCACTTTACTCTGAACAAGAAATAGAGGTAGAGGAAACTGAATTTTTCAGCCATATTGAACCAGAGTTATTTGCATCAAATCGTTCTATACATTTCCCGTTGCCAGATAGTGGCCTTATGAATGAGCAGGTGATTCTATTTACATCTTTTCATGATATTTCTTCGTTGGACTTTTGATTACAATATTGGCATCTGGGGCCTGATCTGATATTTGGGTCAAAATCATGAATCTAAGTTTGAGCTCACAGGCCATTTAAATTATGATTTTTGTTGTAAATAAGACAAATTTATGTGCATATACACACCAAAAGACATGTCAGAGGCTTGTGACACATAATACATGTAATTAAGTTATCAATCTTTGGATGGCGGATCAAGCGTTTTCTTTTGCTGCTTACTGTCAAAGATACAGCTGTGGACATACCCTCAAATTTGGAGGCTCGGAGACGTATTTCATTCTTCGCTACATCTCTCTTTATGAATATACCTAGTGCTCCTAAAGTGCGTAACATGTTGTCATTCAGGTAGATACTCTTTGGTATTATTTTCATTTCTTTGTGATTTGTGGTGGTATGGTGTTATTTTCCTTAATATGTATTTGTCATCTTTTGCATGTACAATTTGTAGAAAGAAAGCAATCTAATAAGTATTACCTTTTTTTAACATAGAAAATGTTTCCCAACTAAGATCAAGTTATGCACCTCATTTCTCTCTTTCTCTCTGCCTTCTCTATTTCATCTCTCTCTATCTCTCTCTCTCTCTCTCTCTCTCTAAATCCAAACCAGAGCATAAACTTCAGGTTCCTGGAGAGCAGTCTAGTTCTGCACGGAGAAACAAGCCTGCTGATATGCAGATAGAACAAGCAGCGAGTTTCCGGTACAGAAAACCATATATATATATCATTTTATAGTACTCAATTTACCAAAATTCATTAGCAATGGATGCAGAATATTGGATTCACTTTACTCTGAACAAGAAATAGAGGTAGAGGAAATTGAATTTTTCAGCCATATTGAACCAGAGTTATTTGCATCAAATCGTTCTATACATTTCTCGTTGCCAGATAGTGGCCTTATGAATGAGTAGGTGATTCTATTTACATCTTTTCATGATATTTCTTCATTGGACTTTTGATTACAATATTGGCATCTGGGGCCTAATTTGATATTTGGGTCAAAATCATAAATCTAAATTTGAGCTCACAGGCCATTTAAATTATGATTTCTGTTGTAAATAAGACAAATTTATGTGCATATACACACCAAAAGACATGTCAGAGGCTTGTAACACATAATACATGTAATTAAGTTGTCAATCTTTGGATGACAGATCAAGCGTTTTCTTTTGCTGCTTATTGTCTAAGATACAGCTACGGACATACCCTCAAATTTGGAGGCTCGAAGACGTATTTCATCCTTCGCTACATCTCTCTTTATGAATATACCTAGTGCTCCTAAAGTGCGTAACATGTTGTCATTCAGGTAGATACTCTTTTGTATTATTTTAATTTCTTTGTATGTTATTTTCCTTAATATGTATTTTTCATCTTTTGCATGTACAATTTGTAGAAAAAAAGCAATCTAATAAGAATTACCTTTTTTAACATAGAAACTGTTTCCCAACTAAGATCAAGTTATGTTCTTGGCATTTGTCCAAACCAGAGAATTTATTTTTGGAAACCAGAGAATTTCATATATATATTTTTGGACCAACCCAATTCTCTGAAATTGGTCAAAAATATAGAGAAATTCTTTGGGAAGTCTAGAGAAATTCCCAGAATTTCTCTGGAGAGAATTTCTCCAGAGAGAAAATCTATGGAGGTCTAGAGAAATTCTCTGGGAAGTGCAGAGAAATTTCCAGAATTTCTCTGGAGAGAATTTTTTTGGAGAGAAAATCTCTGGAGGTCTAGAGAAAATTTCTCCGGAGAGAATTTCTCTAGAGAGAAAATATCTGAGAAGTCTAGAGAAATTCTCTGGGTTGAATATATATGAAATCATTATTTATTTTTGGAAAAATATATATGAAATTCTCTGAGAATTTCTCTGGACCAACCCAATTTTCGCTGAAGTAGAGCACTAGTCCTCATTGTTGTCCAGAGAAATTTGGATTTTCTCTGTGATATGTCCAGATAAATTTGGAATTTTCTCTGTGATTTGTTCAGAGAAATTCTCTGGATCGAATTTTTTCTTGATCAATATTGAGGGACCTTAGATATTATGAAAATATTGAGTGTCCTTTATGCTATAAAATCTTAATATCAGGGACCTTAAAAAAAAAAAAATCTCCTTTAAAAAATTATTATAGATTTATTAAAAAATTATGTTTTTAATTATCAATATTTATAATTATTTTTTAAAATTAACTCTTAAGTGAAATTTTTCAAAAAAAAAAAAAAAAAAACTACAACTCCAAGACCAAAACATCACATCATTAATGGCGGGACCCACTGTCACCTAATTAGTGGGAGCACTAATTAGTGCTCCCAAGCATTTTTTATTAAATAATTCACATGAATGCACCCAATTCGATAATTTAGATTAATGCTCCCAATTAGATAATTTAGATTGATGCACCTAATTAAATAATTCACATTAATCATGTACACAATTCATATAAAAAAAAAAAACTCTACAACTCCAAAATACATTAAATTATGTAATCTAGTCTAGAAAATAATAAGCATGTAACAAATTAAAACTAGAATAGAATCAGCATGTCAAAATTGCAACATCCATAAATTATATTTTATAACCTTAAATTCCATGCAAATTATGATAGAGAATTCTAATTAAACTAAGCAATTAGAGAGTACCATTGCATAATTTACAATCATTGAAATAGTGAGCAATACCGCAACAATTCCTAGTAGCATTATACAAAGCTAACCTAATAGTCTATATAAATCCATTTAATCAATTTCATAGAAAATGTGTGAGTAATTTTCTGACCACACTGCCCGTCTAGTAATCAGCTGGAGAGCACTGGCAGAATAGATGGCTTCAGCAAACCTGTAACAGAAAGAAAAGGCTCTAGCGGTAGCTCTTCCACCCGGGGGCACTCCGATGATCAAGTCAGTATATCTCTCAAAGATAATCAAGTGCTAAACTCACAAGCTTGAGTATAAAACTGCGTACCTTAGACCCACGGGGGTGCCTCTCTTTTATAGTTTATTAAATCCAAGTCCCACTAGAAGTCTGACTTCTATGGATTCCAATTCAATGTCAACTTTGGACTCTTCAAGAGATAAAGATAAACTCCCTAAGAGCTTTATCCTTATCTTAGCAAAGTCTTCTCTTTACTCTAGAACTCCTGTCCCTTATCTTTTATCCATTTATCTCAGATTTCGATATCTTCGGAGATAACCTCGGCCTCATCAAGATAACCTCGGCGTCACAACCAGGACACGTGCAACTTCGGCTGACACGTCGGCGTCACCATACCACGTGTTGGTATTTCAGAAAATACATCCCCACAGTTTGTGTAGAAAAAAACAAACGAGGATCGTCTCTTCCAGTACCACACAGGATATAATAATATATAAATATAATTTTCTTCATTGGATTCAATTGTTTTTACAAATGGCACCAATCGTACAGATATAAAAAATACCGTATTTGATAATAAAGAAATCCAACGAAGAAGATAGTCAACACCACAACATGATCTCCGTCTACAAGATAAAACACCCATAGCCATAGCCGGGGGTCCTCCGACGCCCAAGTCAATCCTCCAATATTATAAAAATATTTAATAAACTAATTCACAAAGAGAAATTGCGTACCTTAACTCATGGGATGGCCTATTTATAATATTTAGTGACTTAGCTTATAAGTAGTTTGAATGTTCCAAAAGTTTTACCCCAAATAATATCCGCTTGTTCAAGATTTCATATTCTGATGAGGTTTGCATAACATAAAACACTAATACAATATTTGATAAGAATTTGACAACTGTCATATATGCGATAATCCATAACCATGCCACGTGACAATGGCTGGACCCACATAATTTTTGTGATTATTTTTATTCCCTCTCACTCTCCATCTTATAGTCAAACAAACGTGACCTAAGATATAGAGAGAGATCTGAGGTTCACGATCTAGTTTGTCGGAAATTGTTGTCACAATCTGGTCATTGGGATTTGCAATTTTGTTATCGGAGGTCATTCAACGGTGAGATTTGGTTCTCAGAGATTGTTTGGGCACTCGCAATGGTGGGTAGAGGTTACTGGCAGTGCAGGCTAATCAGCAAAAAGTAAGAAGTGGGGCAAAGGTTGCAATAATGAGAAGAGAGTGGAGATGTGGCTGCGATGGCGAAGGGGTGAGAGGGAAATGTTGCAAAAAGATGGGGCTGCAGATTAAGGAAGATGTTGAGGTGAGAGAGATGTTGTGACAGTTTGAGAGAGAGGAGCTGCGGTGGTGACTGGCCGGAGTTGTTGAAAATAAAAAGATGGAAAAAGAGGAGCAACAACTACTCTACCTTCTCCTTCGATAAGGACTTCTTCAGTTTCATCCGAAGTTGAAAGACTATTAGAAGCATCCTCAAAAAAGACAAAGAAGACTGATACTAAAGTGCCTCTAAGTGTAGAGCCCATTCAGGCAATACTCCCATTTCCTAGTTCTACATTTTTCATACCCTTCTTGAGGCAAAGCATTCCTGCATCCCTATTTTTTGGCTTAACTCCATACCTTCTTCTTCTATCATTTAGCTCTACCCAATTTATTCTCCCTTCAAACCTTGTTATTCCTTCCCCTCCTGAGGAAATTCCAGTTATTACTTCATCTCCAGTGATAGCTGATTCCGTTAGAGAAGACACTAGTAACTCACCAACTCCTTGTCCACTATCCCTATCTAGCTCCAGTCCCTCTTCTCTTGACTTACTGGTAGCCAAGACTATGGAAACTGCTATGGATACTCCATCTTCCTCTCCTATTCCTATGCAGCCATCTCTTCCTTCTACCAGAGCCCTTTCTGCACCAACCATGTCAACAGAAGAGGTGGACATTTTCGAGGCTAGGCTAGCTAGCCTGTTTGACATGCCTTCTACCATTCCAATAGCTAGCAATGAAACTGAACCATTAGTTCTGGCTGATTCTCTCTTAGAAATTTTTGAGAGCTCTTCCTCCACCAGTATGACTTCCTCGCCTTCATTAGATTTGGATAGCTGTTTGGAGTTGCTGACACTCTTCTCGAGGATCCCCTTCGAAGCCTTGCAAAGGCCTCTTATCAAGAATGGTTTCCTCTAGTGCTGCAAGGTTGTTGAGCAATCTAGCATGACTATTTCAAGTCATTTATCTCAGGCAGCAGCTACCATTGACTTTTTTATCAACATCTACCATGATGCCAAAGCTGCAGAGGAGAAATTGTTGAGGGACCATAAATTCGTTTCCCAAATACATGTTGAAGTGTCTGAATTGAAAGAACAACATTCCTCTGTCTCTCAATTTCGAGCTCAACTGTTGGAGAAGAAAGCTCAACTAGAAGAAAAGTTATCAACAGTCAACTTGGCTTTGGATCGAACTGCCACCAAGCTGTAAATTACCAACCAAGTACTGGCTGATCGAAAACAGGAGATGACTACGGCCATTCAGTTGTCCCCATCTTTTAAGAGTAGAGAGTTAATTGTAAAGGAACAACTAAAACATTGTACTGACTTTTGGGCCAATCTATGGCTGCATGTATTCAACTCATTATGAAATAAAATCTTTATTTATTGTTTGAGTGTTTTCATGCTCCTTTTGTTTAGCACTTATTACACTTCTTGCGTTTTCCACACTGTTGGATAATAAGGCTTCAAATATCTGCCATTAATTTTTTTAGGGTGTACATATCTATTCCAATTTCTCAAATGATATGTTCCCTAAGGCAAAACTCTATGAACTTGATATGGCCCTTCCCAATTAGGTGACTGTTTGCCAAACTTATGACTTTTAATCCCTATTAGGAGTATTGTCTTTCATACCAAATCACCTTCATCAAAACTAATGTGCTTGACTTTCTTATTATAGTTTTTGGTTGCTTTCTTCTTTTGGAAAAGAATGCTATTTAATGTCAGAATTCTAGCTTCATCAACATTCTCTAACTCCAAGCACATAGTCTGATGATACTGCTCAATAACTAACTGATCCTGACATCTCAGCCTCAAGAACTTAATGTTAATTTCTGTAGGTAATACTGCATCATGCCCATATACTAAGGCATAAGGAGTAACTCCTGTACTTGATCTTGGAGAAGTCCTATAAGCCCATAATACATCCAACAGTAAGTTATGTCAATCCCTAGGATTGTCTTCCACAACTCTCTGTATTCATTTTTTCAAGGATTTATTAGATGATTCTGTTTGAGCATTTGTTTGTGCATAATAGGGGGTAGAATTAACAAGGCTAATTCTAAACTCTGCCACAAAATACTTTACTATCTTCCCATCAAATTTAGTCCCATTATCAACAGTTATGGTCTGTGAGATGCCAAATCTATAGATCAGATCTTTAATGAATCCAATAACTTCAATCTAGTCTGCAGCCTTATATGGTTTAGTTTCGACCCACTTAGTGAAGTAATTTGCGGCCATTAAGATGAAACAATGATGCTTCAAAGAGGCTGGATGCATTTTCCCTATCATATCCACAGCCCATCCTCTAAACGGCCAAGGCTTCACAACCGCATGCAGATCAGTTATGGGTATATGTCTTGCCGTGCAATGCTTTTAGCATGCTTGGCAACCTCTAGCATATTCTATGCAATCTTTAAGGATGGTTGGCCAATAGTAAGAATGTCTTCGAAGCAGCCATCTCATCTTCACACCAGGCCGATGAGCACCACATATGCCTTCATGAACCTCAACCATGGCTGTCAATGCCTCCTTTGGCCCTAAACATTCCAATAATAACCCATCTGCCCTCCTTTTGTAAAGAGCATTACCATACATTATGTATTACAAAGATTGCAAGTTTGATTTTTCTGCTGGCTTTCAAAGATGGGCCAGCTAGATACCGCATTATTGGATGCCTCCAATTTTGTTCTTGTAAGTTGTTACCCAAAAGACAACCTAAGAGGGGGGTGAATTAGGTTTTTACAATTAAAAATTAATAATACTCTAACAAAAATTATGACTAGCACAATAGATAGATATAGTTAATGAAATAAAAATAATTAAAACAACAACTATGTCAGTTAATGATTTTAGCACAGTGAATATCTGAAATATAGTTACAACAATTTAAATAAAATAAAGAGATAAGGGAGAGACAAATAAATTTATAGTGGTTCGGCTTTAACTCAGTCTGCGTCCACTCCTCAAGCTTCACTTGAGATTTTTCACTATGCTCTAGCTTTACGAGGGTGCTAGCAACCTTTTTTCAAATGGAACAATCCTCCACGGATTTTACACAGACTTTCTAAGTCAAGAACACTGAGTGTACTACACTCTTACAAGGTTGAAAAGAATGTATTTTTGCTTTCACAGAAAGTTACAAGAATTATCTCTCAAAGATAGATATAAAAATGAAGCTCTGGTTTTTCTGTAAATCTCACACAGGAAAGATGGGCTTAAAGCTATACGTCTCAGTGTATAATTTCTGAAAGAGGATGTAAATAAAAATTAAAGAACACTTCTTAGAGAATTTTTCAGAGAATAGATGTAAATGATTATAGATCAAAGAATATTTTCTGATATTTTTTGTAACTTGTTTACATTAGAGGCTTTGGTATATATAATGAAACTTATAGCCGTTTATAGCCGTTATACTCCATCATTACTAATTTGAATATCTTCCACTTAAACCTTTTAGTATGTTGTTGTGCTGGACTGTTTGAACCTTTGTTTTGGGCTGTTTGAGACTCTGATTTAATCAAATATTAAATACATTCTAACAAAATTTAGGATAAAAGTTTTAGGTAAGAAATAATGGGACAAAATAAATTTTGATTCTATTTTTCTCGTTCAAATAAATTAAAACATAAAATTATCAAAATAAATGTTGATTCTATTTTTCTCTTTCAAATAAATCATCAAAATAAATTTTGATTCTATTTTTCTCTTTCAAATAAATTATTAAAATAAATTTTAATTCTATTTTTCTCTTCCAAATAAATTAAAAACATAATTAAATAAATTATCAAAATAAATAAGTCTAACAATCTCCCCATTTTTTATGATGGCACACAATGATATTCTGATTTGATTTGTGAGTAAGAAAAGCTCTCCCTCAAGTCATGCTCCCTGAATTCATATCTAAATACATAGGTTAGCACATGTGTAATAAATAAGTTTTAATTAGAGACATGATATGAGACTAAGATATCAAACTATAAATATATAAATAATACCATAATTTGAAAATAATACCATAATACATAACATCATAACAAAATAATACCATAATACATAACATCATATAATTTCTCCCCCTGTGACATTATCAAAAGGAAATCATGGCTCAGAATCTGGAGGAAGAGGAAAATGATAGTGATAAATGGCATCAAAAATAGATAATCAAAACATATATATATACACATACATACATATATATATATATATATGATTTGCGCGCCTCTCTCGTGCTCGTCGAAAATCGCGTCAGACAGGGGTCTATGCTTTTGTGTCAGCCAACCGACAAAAGCGAGACGGGTCAATCAACTGCCTCGGCTCTCTCTCCCTCTTGTCTTCTTCTCCTCCGTCTTCTTTTTCCTCATTCGCTTTCATCCCTTTCGTCTTCTACGTGAGAGAGATAGAATAGAGAGACTGAGCAGAGCAGAAAGGCTGCCAAAACCGACCCTCCTTTCGATTACATCTCTCTCTCCTACTACATGGCCTCGTCCCGTCCCCTTACTCTATTTCCGGACTTGAATGATCCTGTAAGCGCTGCTGGGCCGAGTGCCCCGGCTCTTACTCCTCCCAACCTTCCTATGATGTCGATTGAGCAAATAATGGCAGCTCAATCAGACATTGAAGCCAATCATTTCACACTAATGTCCTGTATGGACACGGTGACTACAGTCACAAAATTGGCTCACCGACTGCAGAACAGGACAAGTGAGCTCCGTCAAGTCAACGCCCAACTCTCTCTGCTCCAGTGCATGTACAAGGATGCGAGAGCAGAGATAGGCGCACTGAAGGCCAAAAATAAAGAGCTTAAACGGAAGACAACCTCCATGGCCCGATTTGGAGCAACGTCGTTCTTGGCTTTTGATAATTGGTGGGGAGTGCTCGCACCCGACGAAAGCACGGGGGCAGGGACGTCAAGCATCGCCCAAGGT